ACTGCTGTAGCTGAACCCAGGACAACCTGCCTTAAGCACACTTTATGTTTATTCATCTTAAAAAAAAGATTAAGATATCTCTCCTCAGCTGCTTGTCATTAAGTGACCTTGGCTACACCGATCACTAACAGTACCCAACGTTGGCAGCTCAAAGTGTCACATTAAACTAGAAATGCAGAAGCACTCCTTTACATTCTGGACTCCATCTTTTGTTTTTGCATATACGCAATGAAAACCACCTTGAAAGTGTCAAATACATGAGATTTAAGGAATTTAAAGGAATATTTAACACAAAATAATCAAGGAAGTGCCCAAATCCTCAGGAAAGTCTTATCTATTACCTGTGGTTATTCTTGTGCAGCGTATGGGCACACTGCAGCAAGTACTGACAGAAGTTCCGTAATTCAGGGAGGGTTGATCCACTTTCAAGATCTTGGAACCATCTTTCTGGGAGACACGCAACTACCTGCTCACACAAAAAGTTTGTAAGAAGAAAAGTCTTTCAATATAACCAAGTCACATCACTTCTGACAGGGATTTTTTTGGCAGGTTCAGTTATCAGGAGCATGCGTTTTTTCTTTGAAGCCAAGATTAATTATCCCTACAAGGAGTTATTCGTAAGAACCTATGGACCAATATTTGCTCTAAAATGCTTTTATGCACCAAGGTAACTAAAAATAGTTAAAATAAATTTTAAATTATGTTTAAATTTTAAAATCTTTAAATACTTCCTCTTCAGTTTCAACCCCTCTTCATAAAAACAACAAAATAAAAGCTTTCAGCATACACCCTCTTCCAACGTACATGTCACCTTTTACCTTACGACACTTTACTGTATTATCCGGCCCTGGTGGTGTGTTTAAGAGGTTCAGAAGAAGGTAACGATTCAGCAACTTGCTCAGTCCCAAATCACGGACTGTATCTTCCTGTACAATCCCATCCCAAAGCAGAACATTGGAGAACAGCTGCAGTAATGAAGAAACAGAGAGTATGTATACTGGGTGGCTGGAAGTGTGCTAAAACAGTATCAAAAGTTTTGTGCAAGATAAAGATAACATTATGTCCCTTCACTAGACCAGGTTGCTCCAAGCCCCTGTGTCCAACCTGGCCTTGAACGCTGCCAGGGATGGGGCAGCCACAGCTTCTCTGGGCAACCTGTGCCAGCACCTCAGCACCCTCACAGGGAAGTTTTTTTCCTTATGCCTAATCCAAATCTCCCCTCATTTAGTTTAAAGCCAAAGAACACACTTTCCTGAGAGACACAATAGATATCCATCCTAATAAAAATGGTTTACTCTCCCAGGAGCCAGACTTGCCTGAAGATGTATTTCCTGACTGACTGCAAAATATTTTTTTCAATAAAATGAATTTCATAGAAAATAAAAAGATGTATTTTCTCTACCTTAACAGCTGACCAAAAACGCCTGTCTTGAAACTTTGAATGTGGTGATGACTTGTCTTCCAAGGTGCTGGTCATGGAAAGAAGGAAAAACAAGTTAAAATAAGGATTTTTTTTTGTTTGTTTGTTTGTCTGTTTTTAAAGGAAGATAAACAGACAATTGATCCTTTAGATACCGATGAATGTTAATTCTGGAATTGTTTCAGCAGTGACAGCCACAACCAAAATAAATGTCTAGGGAAACAGCTGCCAATTTGAAGCCACTGTAATACAACTGCTATGAATTAACTTCCCATAGAGTTACCAATTGGAAACACCCATGCCTGTATTTCATGGATACGTATCAAAACAGAACTGCTTAGAACCAAGCACCCTACCCCATCTTTAGCACAGCTTTTCTTCTAGTTGTATCTTAACCCCACATCTCCCAGACTCCTATTTAACTCTCATCTTTGAAATAGTGCCCAGTAATAAGCATCCATGATAAACACCCTGGTTCTGGAATGACAGGAGGAATTCAGGGGACACAGGTACACAACACCAGACAACCTGAACTAAGACAGGCCCTCAGACATAAATTGCTGTGGTAGAGCCAGACTGTACATCTCATATATATCAAAAAGCTTTTAGTTACAAATGCAAAAAAGCATTAAGTCAGTGGAGTTACCCTTATTAGAAAGGGTTCATTAAGAGGACTAAGGCTTCATAACCTCTCCCATAATAAAACAGTAGGAGGCATGTTTGTTCCATTAGCTGATAATGGATGTTTACAATGTTTCATCTATACATGTGGGGGAGCAGGGTAGAGTAATTAAACTTTTCTTTTTTTTTTTTAAAAAAGATTCCCAGAGTCAGCTTACCTTTTAGGATACAGAGGAATAAAAACATCTTCCTCTATAGATTTCTTCATTCTTAGGACAACCAGGTTCATCAAATCCTATTAAAAAAGAATTATTAATGTGTCCTCACAAGAAAGACTTCCTCTTCCATTTGTAACAACTTCAGTGGCTGTTTTGTTCATCTAGAAGTGTAATGTTAGTTACAGATAAGTACAGTTGCCACTTGTATATAAAATACACTGAGAATTAATATACTCAAAACAGTAGATAAATCACAGCTATAATTACCTATAGCGTTAACCTAGTGTATTTAATCACCATAGCCAGGTTAGGATGTGTTTTTAGGCAACGTGCTTTTAGGTGCCACAGATTGCCACCTACCTTTTTTAAAGTTTAGTTTACTTTCTGTACAACTGGTATCTTAAGCTAAGATCAACTCTACCACTTGACTTCAAGTCATGATTTCAAATCAGCACCTTTGGAAGGCTCAGTTGGAAGGGATAAAGGTTTTCTTAAGAATATTTCTTTTCATACTCAAGACCTAAACATCCATTCCATTTCACCAGTTTTATACTAGACAAACCTCCGGATTTACAGCAGAATAAAACTGGAATCAGGCTGAGGAAGGGCATGCTGGAGTGACTACGGGTATAAAAAAAAGTAGTTATTAAAAGATTGCTAAGATTACAAAGTAGCCTTTCTCCTGGCCAGCAAATTAACCTTTAGGGATTTTCAAATCTTAAAATTCTATATCTACTTTATAAATAAAAGCTTAAGGAGCCGACCACTGGAGCATCCATGAGCATGTAAAGCTCAAATTTGGAAAGATAATTAAATGCAAATCTAAATTCCAACCAGTGCTATTGCAGCGAAGCAAGATCAGATCCACAATCAGCTTCTTGGTAGGCACAGGCAGAATTTTTCTAGAACAGGAGCTAATTTCTGCCTTAAGAGCAACCCATCTCCCACCACCTTCAATAAGGAGAGCATCAGAGAGCTCGTCTGAACAAACAAGCAATCAGAACCAAACAACTTCAGGACAGTGCACGCACAGAAACCACACACAGTGGATGAAGTGGATGAAGAGCTTTTTTTTACCTCTTTTGCTTGGCTGCATTTATTTACTTGTTTTGAAAAGATGTTCTTGCAAAGCTGTACAAGATTCTTTGTCTGTGAAGTAGATGAAGGATCCCACACACTCTTCACAAATGCTGGAAAGTAAGGAAATTTATTTCAATCACAATATGCAAGTACATATCTGCTCTAGTTCAAGGCACTGCAATGTAATAGAAGCAAACACGTAAAAAGCTAAGCCTCTCTCAATCTTACAAAGTGGTTGCTTTAGTCCCACAGAGCAAGGCCATGTAATCACTATATGCTGGAGTACCATTATATAACTAACATTATTTGAAAGCTATCACTTTAAGTGTTTGATTGCCTGGCTGCAATGAACATTTTCAAGACAAATCTCACTATACCTGCAATTTTCGGAAGAATAGTTTTTTCAATCACTCTAGGCAAGACTTCTTGATCAGGATCATCATCCCTTTTTGATTCAGATATGGTTTTGGCATCACTGAATTCTTCTATAGCTTTGAACCAAGGCATCTCTTCCAACTCCGTAAAATTCTGCTGAAAGACCATTCCTGTTAGTTTTTCAGCTTGTCAGGTTTAAAAGAAAAGCTCCATCCAACGATACCACAGATTCCCACTAAACTTCAGATCCACCCTTCTCACTGAATAGGTCAAAACGGCAAATCAGGAAAACTACACATTTAACTACATTTAAAGGTGAAATTTAAAGGGTGGGATTTTTTAAAGTGCCTTCAAAGAACTCAGGAGAAGAATTATTTTTACATGAGGCATTGCAAAAGGGTCTGGACGTAAAGGGAAAGGAGAAAGTTAAGATTCCAACCACGTGCTTCAGTTTCTGAGACCAACACAGTACTTTCTATTAATTTCTAATGCACTGTGCTATGTATAGAAAAAACACCTTAATTTTCATATTAATACACAAACACATGTACCATTTTTGAAGAAAACAAAGTCAGCTGGTGCACCTACCTCAAGAGGATTCCAATTCATTAACTGAATTCTGATCAATGGATTTAATAGCTTAGGCAGACAGAAACTGATGTAAGCATCACAGTAAGAGTCAGGAAGCTTCTCTTTCCATTCCTGGAATTTCAACAGGATTTTTCTGATGTCACAAAAATCTGCATGTACATCTTCAAAGACTTTCCTACTATCCTCTAAAACGTTATCTATAGATAATATTCATTGGGAATAAAAAGAAACAATCACAGAACTTATTGAAATATAAGCTGAAGAGTTTATGCATCTATAGGACATAAGAAATACCTGTATGATAATTGATTTGTCATTTACCTTTGACACATCTGACACGGAAATGGGTGTTAAAACTGGCTCACTGGAAATCCCAGTTTCAGAAAAAAACTACTGTCAGAAGATCAAAAAAAGGCAAGTTTCTTCATGATCTATTCCATAGATTTATACAACCATGATGTTTCAGACTTTAAAACACAGTGATAAATTTTGAGACATGAAAACCCTTCTGCTGTTATCTGGAGAAAAGGTATTATGCCTTTCCCTGCTCCTCTTCACCCATTCGTTCAAGATAACTAGGACACCAACCTGTCATTCACTCTATCTTCAGGAAACAAATTGATTATACAAAACACGTAGTAGCATCACATTGAGTACTGTCAGATTAGCTTTCGCATGATCTAAAAGAGTTTACTTCCAGTTCAACTAGTCATGTGTAATGCCACCACCACAAGTCATACCAAAAGAAACCTATACCCATGCACCTATTCTTCCCGAGTCATTAGTCAGAACCGCCTGAATGCATTTCTTTTCTACAGTGTGTAACTAGGAATATGTAACTCAAAGTATTACTTTATCTTTAATTATTTCTTTACTTTTCCTGAAATAATTAAAAAAAAATATCAAAAAGATATTTTGTTCTAGGACATTACATTAAGACAGTCACCAACCTTTGCTCTTCTGGAACTCATTAATCTCAGCTGGAGTCAGCTCATCATCACTCGATGTGCCTTCATGGTGATCAACTTCTCCTGAACACTCTCTCGCTTGCCGTCTGCAAGTCCTGTGTTTTATAATGAACTCAGGTGAGTGACCCTCTCCCAAGTATGTAGAAAATCCATTAAAATTCCAAGGTTCTTGCTGCTTCAAAGTACAGTTCTGAGTTGAGGCGCCAATGCAACTGTAAAACTTTCGAAGCTCCCAATAGCTTAAAGAGTTGGTACCAATCCCTGAACACAATCCTTATAAAAAATGTAGTAACTGACCTACACTGATTAAGAGTGTAGATGTTGCTTTGTTTTCACTCACCGCCACCTCCCAGCAGCAACCATACCACCTATTTTTGCTATCTATACAGTGATACAAAAATGTATTTCTGTATAAAGTCATAATATTACTTATTAAAGCTCCCCTCACACAGTTTTGCCTCACTTAAGACTTGTTAATTTAAAATAACAAGATCTATTAGCATCCAGATTCAAATCAACACGAAGAGAACGATATTAACAAATAGATGGTTTCCAAGTACTTCTGAGTTTTGGAAAGCAAATACGTATTTTTTTGTGTAATCTCATTTAGTAATCCTACAGATTTACATTCATCACTAAGTGACAGGAAGCCAGTGCACAGTACATTAATCAGAGTTAAGTGCACCTATAGGTAATAGCTACCTTCGATGCTCACACATTTCCAGAAGGTGTGTCTTCTTATGACCTTTTAATCCATCATTACTGGGTTTGTCATTCTCACCTATCAGAAAACAAAAACATCCAAAAATAAAATAGTATGATTTTAAAGCTCCTATTTTTTCAAACAGGAAACACAGATCCTCCTCCTATTGTTCTTCATTTGGAAAATAGCCAAATTAAAGTCAAACCTAACCAAAACTCCAACAATCTCCGAAGTAATGCATAGTAAGTATTATTTTTAAGTGCATATAGTCAGATGTGGTTGTTCCCTTATAGCAGTTGATGGAAAGGTGAGTTTCATGACATTCCAGACAACCTTCACTGCTTACTAATCCTGGAAAGGAACTTAGTGTCTTCCATGATAGGTTCTTAGCAGTGTGAAAGGCAAGCATAGGGACCTATCTTCATCCTGTATGTCAAAAATGAAACCATGTAATAAATTAGAATAACTTTTGAGCTTCAGTTCCAACACTGTAATGGAAGTTAAATCCCTGATTTACACTATTCAAAAATCACTGCATTTAGATTTCAAGATTAGTCAGCTCCCCACTGTCTCCTGTTATCTGAGTGGTAACTGACCCCAGCTACCCTTATCCTGATTCTTGAGTCCAATGCAGAAGTAGAAACTAGAAGCATGCTCTATTTTGGCCATTCATTTGTAGCACTATTAGCCAGCTAGTATGTGTACAACATGCCAAACTAGTGTACTACTACTGAAGAATGATCATATATGAAAAAACAGCCTTTCCACTATATTAAATACAACTAGGACCATAAAAAGAAAAAAACAAAAACAAAAAACAATTTAAAGTGCTGTTAAACATTCAACTACAGTCTCACTTGTAATGAGCTGGAAGTAAAATCATTCTAATGGCAACGTATTATGGCACTACCCTTTTCTTCTTAACACCTGCTGTCAGTTTGCTACACCATTTTACAAAATCATACAGGCTGCTAGCCTTCTCTAATCAGCAGTTTATCCTGTGTGCTGAGAAAACTGAACCCATATGATTAGTAGTTACCAGGAACTGGTGCATCTGGCTTCCATCTGTTCCCAGCAGCTCCAAGCATATTGCTTTTAGCTTTGACTAAGCAGTTTTAAAGGGTTTGGTTTTGGATATTTGGTGAGGTTTTTTAAATAGCAGCAGCTAAAGATTCATATGGCATACAAACAATAACATTGGTGTGGAAAGAAAACGAGGTAATTGTAGTAATTTTTCCTACAGTGACTGAAAAACACCGTTTTGTTCTAGATAAAACCCAAAAGGGGCTTTTTTCTTCATGTTGTTCTCTTCACATGTCACCTAGTATGAAATCTCCATTCTGAGCACACAAATAGCCTTAAAGATGCTCTCATGTAGAAGTGATGTTGCCAAGTAAACACCCTGCTTTTCACCTCAGTTGAACACACTTCCTGACAATGGAAAGGAGAAAGGAAATGTCGTGGTTTAAGCCCAGCCGGCAACTTGGAACCACGCAGCCGCTCGCTCACTCCCCCCCTTTTCCTTCCTCCCCCCGCTCCCGGAGGGATGGGGAGGAGAATCGAAGGAATGTAACTCCCACGAGTTGAGATAACAGCTCTCCAGTAACTAAGGTATAATACAAACCACTACTGCTACCAATAATAATGATAAGAGGAATAACAAGGGAAAAGGACACAACCGCTCACCACCCGCCGACCGATACCCAGCCCGACCCGAGCAGCGATCTGGGCCTTCCGGGTAACTCCCCCCAGTTTCTATACTGGGCATGACGTGCTGTGGTATGGAATAGCCCTTTGGCCAGTTTGGGTCAGGTGTCCTGCCTCTGCTTCCTCCTGGCTTCCCCTCCTCTCTGGCAAAGCATGAGACTAAGAAAGTCCTTGGTCAGAGTAAACATTACTTAGCAACAACTAAAACCATTGGTGTTATCAGCATTGTTCCCAGACTGAAAGTCAAAAACACAGCACTGCATCAGCTACTAAGAAGGAGAAAAAAATGACTGCTGTAGCTGAACCCAGGACAGAAATAAAAATAAAAAAGAAAATGAAGAGCTTTACTTCTGCTCAAAGAGTGAATGTTTCAACAAGAAAATAACTTTTAACTTCATACTAACTTGTCAGATGCTGAATATAAGCAGATTCATCTTTCAGCACATTTTGTCTTCGTTTCAATACTCTCATGGCTCGTTGCTGCAGAAGTAGATGTACAGCCAGTTCTAGCTCATTAATGTATTTCAGCTGAAATATAATAAACAGTAATAGGTTTTCAATTAATTAAAATCCCAAAAGAATAGGAAAAAACAACCATTCCCATAGGTCTTCAGTATAGCTGTGAAATTAGAACCAAACTGTCATAGATTAAAAATAAGTTCCTGGACATTGGAGTTTTTCAGGCTTTTTTATAAGGCTGAAAAAGCACAAACTAAATGCCTGTTGCTCACCACAGGACTAACTAAGACTTCATACAAGAGGCTTCAACAAGACAATATAATTGGTATGCTTTGTTTGCTTTCAGTTTGCCTTTGAGCCACCAGCCATTAAAAAAAAAAAAAAAAAAAAAAAAAATGTATTTATTAAACTAACTTTTTCTCTTAAGTTACATAAAGAAATTCACAATTGCAATGCAATGAAGTGACATAAATTACATTTGATAGCACAACCTATAGAGGATAACAGCAATTTACTTTCACTGAGGCCAGACTCAGGTGGCTCCTCCCCTTCTCCAAACCTTCATCTTTCTAAATACATGAAGTTTGTGGATCAGGAGGCAGCTGCAGCCAATAATGTACACAAATTCTCACACAGCTCTGCCAACTCAATCCCAACTTGAACCCAACACAAAATCCTTACCACCTCTGTCATATAACCCTGAGTAAAGACATTTTGAGATCCCAAAAGTGAACTTAAATGCCAATTCTCATTCAACTTCGGCACACTCTCACTACTAAACCTGTAGGAAACTCCCTCCACTAACATTTTGTTTGCATCCAACAGAACCTAGCTGAGACCACAGCTCAAGTCAGCATACCTATACGAGGCTTGATCATCACTTCAGGTGAGGGTTGATATTTTTTCCTGATATTTTGTTTCCTGTTACATTAAAATTTCTGATAGAACTGATTTTTAACTGGATGGTATCCCTCCATCTCCAAACAAAAAACCCTCATCTTTCATTGACAGAATACACCTTTATCACCTGCAAAAACGAAAAAAAAAAAAAAAAAAAAAAGAGGAAAAAATACATACTTTTTCATTCAAACAGTCTATCAAGTTTTCCACATATGTTTTCATGGACCTGTAGAATTTGTAATTCAGAGCTGCATCTGAAGACTTCTCTAACGCCTGGACAGTCGTCTTTGAACTCTCAATGTCCTCTTTGTATTTCTCATACTCCCTCTGGTGGGCACGGTGCACATCCTGTAACGATGCTATCCTAAAAAAAGAGAAACACTGAAAACTAAACTATTGCCAGGTTAACAGCTGATGCACTTCTAAACACTTTTCCCCGTTATAATCACACATAAAATCTTTGCCTGTGCTAGTACTTGCACTTGACCAAAGCAGCGCTGGAAGACTTACCCATGCCAGCATTTTCACAAGTATGGGGCTCGACAAGCATCATGGTTTGGAGATTCAAATACCATTTATGTGGTGCTGTTTTGATATTTTACCTAGATAGCCTACCTAGATTGCTCAATGTACCATATATCCTAAAACCATAAAAAGCCAAATTTCATGGTATCACATTAATTGGATTCTACCCAATGTAATCTGAGGAAAACTGCAGCTCATGTCAGCATGTCCATAATACCAGTTTGGTGTAAGTTGCATGGCTAGCAGTATCAATCAGCATTCACCATGTGCTCGCTACTAAATACAAACCAACTGAAGATTCCCGCTCATCCTGCTTCTGCTTATCCTGTAGGTGATAAAACCTAGGAACCTACATCTATAGCTCTCACTATTAGGCAGACAGACACACATATATATATTACAACTCTGCTTCCTTTTTTCTCCCCACTTCCCTCCTTACATATCCCAAGTGTTTGCTCAGCTTGAGCAAGCCTGTAACAGAACCAAGAAACAGACCACAACTTACTTCACTTCCCTGAAGCAGGGAACACTTTTCAACAGAGATAACTGAACTACGCTACTGTTCTCTACTGTGTTACAGTTAAAAACAACTATTTCAGCATTTATCATGTTAAACAAATCTACAAAGCTTACAGTAAACAGGTCCCCTTCCCCTTCTTGCTATTTTCCAGATGGGTTTCCCACTCTCAATAGCTTTATTCTTATTTTTCTTGTTTGATTCTGTACCAAAATTCCTACTTCATTTAACTCCTTTCAGGTGATCAAGGCAAAGAAAGCATAAAATTCCACAAAAACTTTTAGTCCAGTTTAGTTGAAAATCTTTAAACAAGCAAAGCATATACAGAGAGAGCACAGTGCAAGTTCATAACAGCTATTTATGTTTCAGCTGTATAATGTTACTTGTCTAAACTTATCTGAGCAGCTGCTTCCTGATGCTCTGAGAGATGACAGGGGATGGTTTGCCCTGAGATGCCTGGCCCCAACTGTCCTTCTCACGCATCCTCTAGGAGGTTCCAACCTCCATCCCAGGATGCTTCAGCTGCCCATACAGCAGCTGAGCGGCTAAAGAGAGAGAAGTCACAGCCTGGCTCACAACTAAAGAGAAATATCAAGAAAGGTTGTAGTTTGCCTAAACAGGGTGTACAGAATTCACTGCTGCTTTTAAGAAATACTGGTGTAAGAGCCACCATAAGAGGGGTAGGATTGTGAGCTCCACCTGCCCCAGCTGAAGTTTTGCTTACTGGGCAAACATAACATTGAACTAACACTTCTGTCAAAAACTACTGGAAAGCATAAAAAACTACTGTTGTTTAAATTAATTTATTCTCCAAGTTCTAGTAGATAAAACACTCTTGAGAAGTCCAAATGCTCCCCTACAACAAATTACGTAAAGTTAAAAAAAAATCTAGACATCGTAACAGGAATTAGTACACATGAAACAACAACCCAATCCTCCAATACTCTGGAAAAGAATAAAAACTTCAAACCTGTATCTCCCAAAAGAATTAAAACTTCAAACCTGTATCTCCCTTTCTGCAACAAAAACTCAGAGAGCTCAAAAGTTAAGTTCATAAGAGCAGGATTTACCTTTCAGTCAGTCGCTTCTTCACAATTTCCAAGTTCACAGGCGGTAGAGAAACAGAGGGATCAAACTTTGGTTTAGCTGACTGCAATTCATGCAGGGAAGTATCATCGTAAGTTTCCTACAAGAATTTTAAGTGTTAATTTTTAATGCATAAACTTATACAAGTTCTCCCTCTGCGGCTCTTCAGATCAACAAGATGTATCATTCCAATGCACAAGGCATATGATACAAAGATACGTATTTCAATAATCAAATTAAGTACAGAAAAATGTTGTACAGAAAAGCACAACACAAAAGCAAGGAAAACAAAGTGTAAAACCCTGCATGTGTTATATAAAAAACATATAGCACATATACATATAAACAACACAAAGTAATCCATAATTTTGGGTACACCCGAGTAGCTGTCTTGGCCTGAAAATATTAACAGCTTTCAGTAGTGCATAATGCTTCTATATTGACAACTGAGACTTCACTAGTATCAAAATTCTAAGTATAAAATGTGGAAACAAACTACAGCCAAGTAGCGATGGCAATACCTGATTTTATTTATGTCTTGCTTTTTTAAAGCTATTTTCATATATTTATGAGGAATTATTTGCCATCTATTAGTCATTTAATAGGCTATTTTCTCATAGCAAACTTTCCAATTCCCCTCCTCCTATAAATATGAATGCCACATTGTGACAAAGCCAGTGGTCAAAAGACAGATTTTTCACTCACAACTCAGCTTCACTGTAATTACAAGTAAAGGGGGATTCCACTGAATTTTAGCTTATAAATTAACAGACATTGTTCTAAACCCATGGAAGTTTGTATGTTAAAATCTAGCCAAAACACAATCCATTGAAGCAAGCAAGTCCACAACGAACAAGGTTCACTACTAAAAACTATTGCAGTTTCCTGACCAGCAGAAATTAAGTTTTCCAGAAACAAGTATGAGGATTTAAGAGCACCAACCATGCTGAACTTGGAATTCAGCAGCAGAAATGTGTAACTTTCTCCCAGTCCTCTAACTACTCCCATTTAAGAGGCAAAAGTTTCTACAATTGTCTATTCAGACATAAAGAACTGGTTATTCAGATTTTCCTAATCTGACCCAGAGTAAGTGATTCAAGCCAGAAACAAAACTTCCAGCTCATCAGAAGACAAGGGGTTTTATTTTTGCCAATTATTTACCAGAGGAAAAAAAAGAAAGAAAACAGAATTCTGCTGAACTGTCAAGAGAGCTCTCAGATTGCACCTAGCAGGAATTTAGCATAATAAAAGAATAACTTTTACCATTGCTATTATCATACTTTTGCTTTCAAGATCCCTTGCACAGCAGAAAGAGGAAAAAAAAAATCAGGGTTCAGAATTCTATTCTCTGCTTTTCAGTCTTCCATCATATACAGGTACTGGCCTTTGACACAGGCAACAATACCCTGCTTCTGAACAGCCAGAGATTACAGATTTTCATTATCATCTTCCCTTATTTCTAGTCATCTTTTCCCTGAAGAATCAGTGTATAACTTCCCCAAATCCTCTCCAGTGAAAGGACAGGAAGGAGATATAGGAGTACTCCATAAAAGCTCTCCTGCCTATGAGCAAAAAGCAACTTCCAGGTGTTAGAAAAGCATGCATCACCTGAGAGAGTTTAATGGCTTTCTTTATTTGCTGTTCTTCCCACTTAATTAGTGCTTCATCTTCACTTGATTCATCACCCTCAGACACTGAAAGTTAAAACAATCATTAATAGATACAATTCCCTGTATTTTTCCCCCTCTCATGATCTCCTCCCTCTAAAGCAACAATGGGTCTCCTAATCACTACCGGGAAGCGATACACACAAAGAACAGCAGATGAAAAAAATCTGCAGATGGAGGACTTCCAAACTGAAAGGCAAGGAAGGCTTGGAAAGAGCTAATGGGATTTGTAGCATTCACACCAATATCAATTTCCCCAACATACTGTTTCTCACACAACTACTGCAGTAAAAGCAGCACAAACATCTTGGGTTTATGTCTGAAGGCAAAGCTGTGTATAATACGTGTAAATAACATGTAAGTATAGATGGTAACACAGCGAGTGACATTATGCACAGGAAATCCTTGATTGTTCCAAAGCATACACTCTACTATAGATACAAAAATCTCATTAGCATTAATTAGAATTGCAGAATCAGCTTGCAGTTATGCATTCCTTATAACCCTTCTTCAACTAATAAAGTAAACTTTTGCTTCATAAACAAAACCATAAGCAGCTGTAAGAGGACAAAAGCAATGAAAACGCCAGATATGCTCTGTGTGCAATAGGTTTGTTCACTTCCGAAGGGCTGCATTGTTTGTTTACGTTTTTTTCCCCTTTTCAAGAACAGTCATGGTGTCATTGCAGGGAAAGCACTTGGAAGACCAGGTTAGATGCAGGAGGCAGGACTTACAGCAACTTTATCAACATTAAATGCTGTGACTCCTACAAGGGTTTGTTTTTTGGGTTTGTTTTTTTTGGCCAAGAATATTTCCTTATATGTTTCTCAAACCATCCTGCATCACATTAGTGAGACCTAAACCAGGTTAATGCCCCATAGAAACCTCAAATAGCAGCTGTACAGCCTTTTGCCGAGAGCCCTGAGGGGCAAAGCCTTGTGCTGCATAACCTCACTGGACAAGTCCCACACTATTCCAGGCATAAGTAAAACAAAACCACAACCACTAGGAGAAACAGCACAAACTCACCCATGTGCTCCATCATCCTCTGCCTAAGAGTTTTCATTTTAGGAACAAAATCAAGATTCTCTGTATCAGACTCATCTTCACTCTCTAAATCACTGCTTTCCCTTCTCTGAGAGACCTCATGATTGTTGGAAACATCCAGTGGAAGATAATCAGCCTGTGTCCTGGCTATGTGACGTTTCCTTCGAGCAGCCTCAATACAAGCTGCGCTGGGGATATGACCTGCATTGAAGAGAAAGCAAATCTAACCCAAAGAGTAAAACCACCACCCTGTATCACTCCTAATGTCAATAACCACCACTGTTCAGGATCACTGTACAATTCTGAGTCCAGGGCACAACATGTTTACACTACTGCTTTTACCATGTTGGAATATAAGGACCTGGAGAAGCGGTTCTCAGTCTGAAAACAAAGCTCAGACTTTTTTCTTTTAAATGAATTGCTGTTAGACTGTCCTCCTTTTTTACATCTCCCCAGAAAATCAGGGCTACTAAACTCAGAGAGTTACAAAGGAATCACAAGTTTACAAATCAGCACAGGTGGGTTATATTTTAATCTTATGAAAGGAACTTACATGATTGTAAAACAGGAATTTTTTGCAGCCTGTTTTTTCTGCTGTTCTGAAACCAATGGTCAAAATTTCTGATCCATTTCCAAAATTAACACGGAAATACAACAAATATCTGCAATCAAAAACTGCCACTATTCTTTCAGAAGAAGGGCAGCCCTGAGGCAGGACAAACAATGTGCTTATACCCTACATGTTTTAAGCTGAGTGGGATTTATGGACCTATCTTGTCACGTACTTCAGACAAGAAATGTTTTGTTTTGTCTTAAGTAACTTTCTTAAAATAAAAAAAATCCAGGAAATTCACCTGGTGATAGATCCTTCCTCCTCTGTGGAGAGCTGGACTCATTTTCAGAGCCTAAGCTGTTGTAATCCTCACTTAGTGAAGAATTACTTTCATCATCATCCTCCTCCTCCCTTTCTTCACAAGGGCTTTTGATGTTTCCAGTTCCAGGCTCCAATGGACTGATTTCTGCATTAGGGGTAAAAAAAGTAAGATTCATGATTTCAGTTTCAGCTGCTGGAATCTGATATGCCATGACTGGTTACCAGTAACTATTTACACCCTGCTGCAGCAAAGACTGGTCATATATCTATCACCATCTGCCCTCATCAAAATATGTCCAATTTTCTGATGTTCCAAGGCAGTCATTTACAAGCCAGTTCTTGTCTCGAATCCAAACACCTGTGATAGGCCTAAACTAATACGTCATTCTGACACACAGAGCACATTTACATGCACAAGAGGAATGACATCAGCTCCCAGATAACAACTGATTAATATCCTAAATAACTCATGGCACATTTGGATTCACCTCCCTTAATTTTATAGACTGTATTTAAAAAGTGTCTTTTTTTCATAAGCATTAAAAATGAGAGAGTCCTTATTTAAACTACAAAGGTTTATGTATGACTGTTTTGTGTCCAATTATCTTTGAATTCTTTAAAAACGTTGATTTCTTTTCACTTGCCACTACATCTGCAGTAAATCATCAGATTACTGACCAACAGAATGTGTCACCTTTTGCAAGGGTATGAGGTATTATTACTTCTGTAATAAGTTAGAAAGAAAATTTACCATCTCGTCTGAAGCAAAATCGCAAAGGGAATTACAGAATCACAGAATGGTTTGGGTTGTAAGGGACCTTAAAGATCACCTGGTTCCAACCTCCCTGCCACAGGCAGGAACACCTTCCACTCAACCAGGTTCCTCAAAGCCAAAATATTTCTTAATCTGATTCATTTTAATCTAACAGTAGCAATTAGGGTATATCTGTGTATTGGTAAAGATGTAAAAAGGAGAATACAGGGGAAAAGAACTTCCAGACACACTTGTCTGTATAACAAACAACCCCCAAATATTTCAATAGGAAGCTTACTACAGTTCAGTTGACACTTGGAGTACTATCAGAACAATCAAGGCTATTGACTGCATATAATGAAAGTATTCAAATGTTATAACAGCACACACTTTAATAACACAAAGTTTAAAGTTTACAATAAGTGTTATCAAACATTTTTACTAAGCTCACATTTTCTCTCAATGCAAAATACTCAGATTGAACTGCAATTTGACAGCAATAAGCAGTGGAAAGTTACCCCACAGTTTGAAAGATATAATGCTGAAGTATCAATTTATCAGAAGTTTATTAACTCTGATGTACTTAGAGGGGTTCTGCATAACCAAATCTTCTCAAGAACAGCCTCCAAGTTCTAATACTTTTTACCAAGGTTACACGGAAAATAATTTCAGCACAAAAAGATGAAAATTTTAAATGTGTAAAGTAACATTGTAAGTATAATCCTGGATCCAATTAGCATGTAAAAAACAGCTAACAGCAGTATTTGTACATTACTTACTGATTTTTTTTAATACATTTTCATATAAGTATTCCATTAAATATTGAACTGAAAAAAGTACTTACTTTTGCTTTCTCCAGTTTCTGCCTGGGCAGGGAGCAGGCTTTCCTTTCGCACTCTAAAGGTTACTTCATTGAAGGATGGTTTTTTAATTTTAAAAAACTCTTCACCTATTCAGATAAAATGAAATTATTCTGAGTAACATTAACAAAGAGAGCAGTACATGTGCATATATACATACATATTACATCCAAAGCGCGTGTCCTCTCTGTGTGCACACAGTAAATTTTTGCAGTTCTGGCTGCATTAAGTCTAACTAACGCAGTTAGTTCCACGTTCTAACTAGTTACATGGCTTTATCACTCAAGATACACCACCACTTGATTTAAAACTGTGCAGCTCAGCCTCCTCAATACAGCAAAACTGTACTGCTGAAATTGTTTCTTTGCAGTCTACGTGCATCCAAGCGACTCCTGTGTGCTGCCCTGACCTCTCCTGTGTCATCAGCCACAAAAGCAACAGCCCAGAAAAGCCAATTAAACATTTAAGTTTTAGTTATTTAACTTCCTCATCATTAGGCAGCCTAGTCGTGCAGTCACATACTACACAGCTGAGAGAGCTGGGTTTGATCAGCCTTGAGAAATAGAATGCTCAGGGGAGACCTTATTACCATGTTACAGTTTTTAAAGGGTGGCTACAAGGAAGATGGAGACTCCGTTTTCACAAGGAGTCCCATGGAAAAGACAGGGAATAATGGGCACAAGTTGCTCCTTACAACATTCCAAGCGGACACTAGAGGAAAAATTTTCACAATGAGAACAATCAGTCATTGGAATACTCTCACGAAGGAAGATCCCCCAACACTGGACACTTTTAAGCTTCGGCTGGACACGATGCTGGAACATCTAGCGTAGGTCATGCTTTGCCGAGAAAAGTTGGACCACGGGATCCAACCTGGGATTCTGCGAGTCTATGACACTTTTCTCTGCTTTTCTCCAGCTCCAAGAAGCTCTCACACGCAAAAGCACACGGACACGTATAATCTTTCAATACCGGTTTCGTTTATGAATGCCCACAACAGCCCTGCCCCTGACGCAGTATCGCTATTTCTGTCTACACATTAAAAAGCGCAATGGTGACTTGCAGCTCCCCGC